TTTCAATACTTGCAAACCCAAATAATGACACCAAAAAGAAAACCATTTTTATGTCTTTAGTTGCTCTAACATTCTTTTGTTTTATAGTTGACCTGCCCATGGATCGACATTAAAGTACTTTATGTATGTTGTGCACTTAAGGTCTTCTACAAATTTAAAACGTGAAGAGTTTTCAAGAGGTAATCCATTATTGATCACCAATTCCAACCCTATTAGGGACATATTTTGTATGTATCCCCTTAGGATTCTTGTTTTTTCGTTTGCTTATGTTACACTACTGGGGATATCAATCTTGCTTTCCCTTCTAGGCTAACACACTCGAGTTGATATCATTCACTTTTCTAGGAAATCATCGTATTAGCATCCGTAGATATTTCTCTGTCTTTGCATATGTCATTTATCTTGCAGGAAGTTCTACTCGACCACCGGTTGGATAGTAAACTATAGTATGTTCTCGCGCTTTCTTTTCACCAGATACTTCGGGGACGACTTCGCTTCTTTAGCATGCTCCTCTTCAGAGTTGCTTGCCCTCTTGGGTACTGTTCCTTGTGAAACTGGAGATTCTCTCTTTCGGGAACTGGAAATTGCCTCTTTTAAAATATTATTTTTCTTCTTTTTTGTCAGCTCCCTCTAAAAACAGTCGTATTTGTTTAGCATGCTCCTCCTCAACTTGCTTGTCCTCTGGGAATCAGGAACTGCCTCTTCCTGGAACTTCTCTTTTCTTTTCTTTATCCGATCGTTCCCTCTGGGAAGTTCAAAACACGATTCTTAAAATAAAAAACTTTCACATCGTAAGAATAATGCGAAGACTGTTCCGACAGTTCAGATATAAGGGTAACACCCCCGGAAAATGTCATGCTTGTCACAAGCTGGTACAAACATGCTGCACCGAAAGCAATGGCTCGTCCTCCTATTAGCGCCTGCACACGGAGACAATATTTTCCCCTCTCAAGGATCCCCTCATGTCTCTTAGGCAGATGTCACCTAAGCATCCATGTCTCATTTGGATCCTCACGGTCAGTTGAGGCTATACCTTTCCTACTAAGCCAATAGGGGAGGAAGACGCCTCCATCACCTAGCGCCAGCAAAGCGATGCGAGTAAATCCCTCAAGGGAGAGAACTCTTGCGGACAAGTCATTCATTTCTCCGAAAAATTTATTTCATTATTTATCAATCTTGCCACAGCTCGTACTCTTCCGGTATGTGCAGCCAATCAGGATATGCCTCGTCTAATCTGGCCCCACACTAACCATTTAGGTTTAAATAAGAAATTTGCATATGTTTTATGGGAACAAATGCGATCATTATTTGACTCCTTGCCTCTTCAAATAGTACACAAGTAGTCAAGGTCAATTCTTGGACCAATTTTTCGAACGCCAACTAGAAGGCTCCATGCTAGCAGAAGGACTTACTTAATAGGGCCCCTATCAAAGCTGCCCCGGTAGGCTTCAGATGAGGCATGGCGAACACTCCACGTCATGGCAGGAATCCGGCACCAGCGTGGTTTACCAACTCCAAAGATTGCATGCCTAATCGGCACGGCTCGTAGAGCCAATAGGAACCCCATTAAAAGAAGTATAAATGAGACATCAAGGCTCGCACGGTGAGGAGGTCGGTTGGACGGAGGGTCAAGACTAGAGAGAGATACAATCAAACCGGAGGAACAGGAGGGGAGATCAAAGAATCTTAGAGGATCTCCTCAACTAGTCCCCTTAATAGGAATGGTTAAGAACTCTCATTTGACGACCCCAACCAATCACATCATTCCTTGGATATAGTTTCACTGGCCTGTCCAGAAAAACATTCCTCAAAAGGTAAACTGACCTTCTTCCCTTATCTTACCCACCAAGAGAGAGTTTCAACCTCCCCCTCGTGTCAAAACATGCCTTAGAAGGTTAACTAACCTTATTCCCTTATTCTATTTGCCAAGAGAGAGTTTCAATCCCTCCCATTCTCATTCTGGCTTATGGATTTCTCACTCATCACCAAACAACAGATGAGTATTATGATCCTCGGACGTGATACTCTATATTGTAACCTACCAGACCTATTAGGAGTAATCATTATTAGTAAATGTTTTTTTTTAAGTTAAAATGTGGGATTTCATAGTATGGATTATTTCGAAAAAATAATATAATTTTTAAAAAAATAATAAAAAAACTAAAAAACTTAAATGTTTATATTATTATGTGGAATAGGACTGTTTAATTTGGCAATATCGAACCAAATCAAACTGAACTAAACCAAAATAAAATATATGGTTGGATTTTGGATATACTATATGAACCATATAAATGTAATAAATTTTAGACTTTAGGATTTGGAATCATTGAATATAAACCCATAAAACCAAAAAAAAACCAAAAAAAAACTGATTAAGTTTAAATTATAATATAATAATATATAGTATATATTGTACATTAAGTATGTATGTAAATTATGTAGTCTAAAATTTAATGCCTAAATAAATCAAATTATCAATTGAGAAGCAAGTTGGACTGTAGTTGAGAATTATTGTGGTTGATTACTCTTTGTTTCTTATATTAAATATATAATTAATTTTAATTAAATTAATTAGTTACAATAATTTGGTTTATATAATGTTTTGTGTAAAAAAAAGTAATTATCCTATATAACAAACAATAATATATTCTTAAATAGTTTGGTTTAAAAAATAATTAACTTTATAAAAATTAGGTGTATATTTTTGATTTAGATTAAACCGAAAACAAATATCTATTTTATAAAGATAAAATTGTATATATATTTAGCGAATTATAAGAAAATAATAATAATAATTGGTGTAAATCCTAAATCTTTATTTATATAAACAGTGTAATATCTCTGCCACTTTTTCTATAGATTTATATCTTTAAATTTATACATGTAGATCTTATTTTTTGTTATTTGTCTGATTTTTCAAAATTTGATCTATATTAAATTGGTAAATTATTTGATTACTAGAAGTTTCCCCGCACAAGGTGCGGAGTTCGATAAAAAAATTTAAAAAATAAGAGCATAAGTTTATTTATAAATGAAAAAAATCAAATTTCATAATTATTTGAAATCAAAATTAATATATTTAAAAAATATAATGTTCATGAGATATATTGTTTTTTAACCACATAAATCAAATTTTATAAGATTTAGAATTTTACTTGTGGTCACATAAATCAATTAGTTTAAATAAAAATATTAATAGGTTAAACGATCAAATTAAAATTAGTTTTAGAAAATAATTAGAATTGATTTTTTATGATTTATACTAGTTATATATATTCTTATGATATACACTCGAATTTGGAAAATTAGATTTAAAAAACGAAAAAAAATAATTAAAAATTATATTATATTAATTTGTTAATTTCCTTAAGGATAATTAAAGTTTTTTCATAAAAGAAGCAAAAGTAATCAACCATCATAACTCTCAACCACAGCCCAAGTTACTTGTCAATTGATAATATGATATATTCATTTTAATGTATTGACATTAATCCAATTTTATAATTTATATTCTTTTTTTACATGATATCTTTGTATTTATTAATTTATTATATTTATATTAAAATTAATATATTAATAATATTAAAAATTAATTTATCTGCGGTGCGGAACATCACCTTGTTTTAATATAAAGCAATATAATTAATATAATATTAAATTATTAACAATATAAAACCTAGGTAAAAAAGTCTTTTCTTTATTTATTCTATAAAGACAGTTCAAATAACTTTCTTTTCTTATGACGAATATGAGAAACTTAAACTTTATTTAATTTAAAATTTTAGTTAGCTATTAAATTTAATTATTTTTAACCATTTTAAAATAGTGATTTAATTATTATTTTTCTTCTTTGTTTTTCCTCTTTTACAAATTTTAAAATTTAATTGATTTTAAAATAAGACAAGAACTTTTTATAAAAAATTAATTCTATGTTTTATACTTATTTTTATTGATTAAAATTTCTAATATTTTTACTACAAAAACAAGTTTCACATTATATCAAACAAAGTTTTGATCACTGGTTAAAATCCGAATAAATTAAAAACTAATATTTCAGACTGAACCAAACCATAAAAGATATGGTTTTCGAATAGTACTTATTTTTTACTAACTAAAAAACTAAACTGAACTTATACAAACCAAACTTAAACCGAATCGATATCCAATTGAACAATAAGCAAGTATTTTTATTTTAATCAAAATAAAAGGTAAATATTTTTTCATATAAAATAAAAGATTATTGAAATTATAAAAATATCAAAGTATTTGACCCTCACATTTAATATACATGCAACATCAAAGTAAAAGAAAAAATCAGAATTGTTTTTTTTGACATTGCAAAAACCAAAATTAAAAAAAATATATGGCAAAATTTTTAAATTTAAATATGTTCACATCTATTTTTATAAAAAAATTTGGATGAGCCTTTATTTGGTGTCACATATAATTTTATATAGTCTGCATTTAATAAAAGTCATAATTTGTTGTAGTAGTTTCGTCCTTGATGATTAATTTTTTCTTATGGTTCACCGATGGAGCTTTGTTTTGGAGTGCTCTTGGGTGTTGGTGTGTTTGGTGTGTATTTGTAGAATAAAAGCATACATGAGAAAGAAAAGAAAGAGTCATCTAAAAAACAAAACTGATAAGATCATTACTGATGAGTATCATTAGTGGTACCTTCTGTATTTTAAGTAGCTTAAAAAGATATGAGAAAAACGAATAGGAATTTTTTTAAAAAAATTATGGATATTTCAGATTGGCTGTCTTGTATTCTGATAAGTTGTTTAATAGTTGATATACAGAATCATATAAATAATGGTAATTCATTATTCTTAACAGTAGATCCTGGAGGTTTCTTAGTTCATCATGCAATTGCTGTAGATTTACGATTTTAGTAAAATGTGCTTATTTCAGTTTAAGACATTTGGATAACGTTCATCGCGTCCTTTTAAAGAAAAAGTGTAACATATGTCTGCCACAGAAAATGCCACAGAAAAAGTCAAGCCAATTTGGAGCAAACATATATATATCAAATCAAATTCCTATATTTATGTTACAGTAACTAAACATATATTTCTGTGAAGAAAAGAATGACAAATTTCAAAAACACCACTTTTTATTCAATTATTATTAAGACCTCAAAGACTTCAAATCAAGGGAAATTCTGCGAGGATCACAAAAGCTGACATTTCCGACTCTCTCAAGTACCTCAACGTTCCTCTCTCCATGAGTTTCACAAGCTTCTGTGTAATATGTAATCCCAAACCTTCCCTTGATGTTCCTTTCCTCAAAGGCTGAAACATCTCTCTTACAAAATCATCAGGCAGTCCCGGTGCAGGGTGAATTATCCTGAACTCGAGCTCCATTCTCTTTATTATTTTCCCTATAGCTTTTATATGCGCCATTACCTTGAATGATACGCATAGTCCCTTAAATGCAGGCGTGAACCTTAAGCTGCTTGAGAGTCTCTGAGATGATTTGCTGAAGCCTTACGCAATCTCCATACAGTCTCACTGACGAAACTTATTGAGGATAATTGCAGATGATCTGAACTTTACGTTCTATGCTCAGCTTCATCACTTGTTTCACAACTGCTTCCAGAGATTCCTCTAGGTTGAACTCGCTGCAATCGAGCTCCACATAGCTGTATCAAAGCCATAAAACACATCAGGATTAAAACGAAAGATTCAAAAACTAGTAACCAAATCCATCATAATCCATGTTTCAGTACCCTTCTTCGATTCCCTCCAAGTCTGAGTCGCTTATGACTTTGGCTAACTGCTCCCTGCAAGAAACGCTTGTCCTCAAGAGCTGCTTCTGTTCTTCACTTAATCCAGATGAATGTAGCAAATCTTGAAGGAAAGAAATCGCTTTTTCCGGGTTCTTTACTTCCTGGCGGAGATATGACAATTTTTTAAGAGCGCAGGCCATTGCCTGCTCTGATATTTTCTGAACCTGTAGAGCATATTGGAGTTCTGGACCAGGTACTTGCAAGAAGCATAAAACCCCGGTGACCTTTCCCTCAATATCAGTCCTCTTGTTTGCATAAAGCAATGCCTCGATGAAGCTACCATCGCGATGGTAGAAGCCAAAGAGAAGCTTCTCTATGTTATTTTGGCCAGAACTCACAGCATTTAAAACTATTCTCAGTTTGGTTAAAGTATCATGGTCTTTAAGGCGGCAACCATAATCATTCGAAGTAAAAACCTCACCGAGAAGCATTTTATCGACAGCTTCTTCTCTCTTTATCCTCGAGAGCTTCTGCATTGCGTCGTTTCACTCTGAGCATAAACCATTCTCATTGGCCATAAAAATTGGTGGGATGAGTGTTGAAGAAGCACTCCACATGATTCTTGCATAGTCTCCTTGCACGCGGCTATAGTTTTTGATAAGCATCTTCTGGCCTGTAACATCTTGTCCAGTGAAGCATACACCAAGAACATTGTTCGTCGTATCTCTACTACAACAAGTGTTGACGACTAATTCAACTGGACTGCTTTTCCTTTTAGGACCAAATGATCTGATCGTGATCTCAGCGCCACGTTCTTCACTACCTATTATGTATTATGAACACAGATGAAAATCTGTGGAAACAGTCAGACAAGATGAAAGGGAGCCAGAACAACACAAAGGGTATCATTTGCTTTCATACTACAGAGGAATAAGCTTTACCTTCGAGAGTCAATGCTAACATGTTCGTAACGGTCTCCACAGAATCGTCCTCAACGAGATCTAACACAGGTTTACCTATTGCTTGTTCAACAGCCAACCCAATTACCTCAGCCGCTTTTGAGTTCCAACCGTTTATAACACCAGAGGCATCAACTACAAAGATTGGAACAGCAGCTGTATCGATCAACCGCACCATTTCATTCACTATAACACACAACTCATCCACTTTCTGAACCCTATTATCCACAGATGGGATGACATTGGCAACAGTCTTTGGATGCTCCTCTTGCAATGACCCATTTATTATTAGCTGTAGAGAGTTGATTGCATCCATCTCCATGTCATCCCATGGCTTACTTTTCCACCTGACTGTCTCCATCAAAGCCTTGAATGAGGATCTAGGATGCATCTGTTTACCATCTCTGTCATTAGGATCATGTCTTGCACCGCCTCATTTGATCTGTTTCGCGGTGCCAGACCTGAACCATAAAAGGAAATCCTTTTCAGATATATATACTGCAGCAGCCATTCAACAGATAGACTCCCCGAGAACTGAAGCATCAGGGTAGCCAGACTCCATTAGACTCTCAGTGGTGAAGCCAGTGTTTCCTCCATGACTTCTGAGAACCCAATCGATTATATCTTTAACTTGTGTCTCTGTGGGAGTAACCCCAAGAGACCAGAGCTTCTCTCTGTAGTAAAGAGCTGCTCCATCACATTTAACAAAATCCATTATATTTGGTGACTGAGTGACAATACCTAAGGGTGCATTGCGAAAAAGCATGTCACATAACACACTCTGAGTTTGCAGGATACGCTTCTTTCAACAGAAGAGCCGATTCTGCTTCTTTGTTGATCTGCAGGCCGAACACCTGAGTCAAGAACTCACAACTCACAAGCGTATCTCAAAGGAAATGGCACCTCATCAGGACTCACCGGCTCCAAATCTATAACAAGACCTTCTTCGATTCGATGCAGAATTGCGTAAAAGGGCTTACTCGAAGCTTTGCAATGAAGCGTTATCGGATACTAATCTCACCAATGTCTGCAGCTTTCTGCAACGCGGAAGAACCTTGAGACTGAAACAGTGATTGCACATATGTTCCTATACTCAGAGCTTCTCTTTGCTCCATACTTGGCACAGTGTGTGGAGTTAGACCCAACATCTCTTGTGTGTTTTCACTATAAGCAATTACTTTGAGGGTTTTCGAATTGACAGCGATTAAGCAGCCAAAGGGCCGAATCAACATTCCTCTCTGAATCTTCTGTAGGTAAGTTGAGATGGCTGAAGAAGAAGGAATGTCGTAGGAAGAACTCGGCATGTTTAGGTTCACTGAGGCTGAATAGTCGAATAATCGCTCGGACTCTTCGAAATTTCCGTGTAGCTTTGCATCAGCAAGGACCTGTGAGGTGACTCGAGAGTTTTGTCTGGATCGAGTAGACCAGCTTCGGGAACTATTGGTTCTTCTATTTGACGACATTTCTTCTTCTCTTCAAAACGAATCTGCAGAAGAATCCACGAAGCTTTTTCTACTCGATCCAGTAAAATTCAGGATTTGGGGTAAGAGACAAACGAAAGGTTTAGGCAAATTCAAGTGTCCAATAGGGTTTCGTTTATTGGAGAATTTTGCTGCGAGTTTCTCTTTCTTGTTTGAAGAATTTACAGAGTTTGGATCTTTGTGGAACGCTCCGTGGTGATGAGAAGCAGAGAGATGTTCATGTTGAATGGAGCACTAAAATGGCAGGCTTTGTTTTTTTTTTTTTTGACATTTCGTATTGAAAACAATGAATGGAGAAAACTGCGTGGTGTGTAGAAGTATAGACCACAAAAATTTAAGTTTGATATATATAATTAACATAATTTAGACGTCTTAATTATATTAATTTAAACATAACTAATATATTCAGTTTATAGTTATAATTTTGAAAATATGGGGTATTTCAGATATTCATACAATTTGGTTTAGATATTCATGCAGTTTTCAGTTTGGTTTGGATTTGATACCAGTTTTTCTAATATAGTGGTGAAAGTTCAATTTGATATTTTTACCGATTCCGATTTGGTTTAGTAACTTTTCATTCGGTTTAGATTGGTTGATTTTTTAGATTCGGTTTTTATGCCTAAGGCCTAACAAAAAATGATCTCTTGTGTTGTGAGATCTGAACTACGTGCCATCTTCATTATAACTGAATCTAAAAACGTATACTGTATGTTAAGAGCCATTTATGATGTTTTCAAAATCGATGATATTACTGAGATTTCACTTTTTCATTTTTAAAAATTACCATGTTTGATAATCTAATCTTTAAAAATTTACCAAATGTGGATAATGTGATAGGTACAAATTTTCCTGAAAAAGGAGTATAATAAAAGTGTTTGTGGATAATGTGAGATATACAATGGTGGCCTCACAAAGCATAAACAAAGGCAGAATCTCATTTGATGATTTTTTTAGTTGCTTGAAGAACAATTTGACGCTCCAAGACAATTTTGCATGGCGACGCATTCAATGATCATTCGTTCTTCTTCTTCTTCTTCCCCATCCTCTGCTTTCGCAGATTCATCTCCTTTGAGAGAGACTCTACTACCACTCTTCAGTATTAGATCTCTCACATTCCAGAGAAAATCCTGTTTTTCTCGGCTTCGGTTGAGATTCTTTGCCGAGAAACACTCTCAGCTCGATTCCTCAAATGGCTGCGCAACAAATTTCGCCTCTTTACAAGAATGTGAGTTTCTTCTTCAATTTTAATCTTGCTTCCTTGACCAGGTCGTCTCTCGCCATTGGTATCGAACCACAATGTGTTTGATTTTGTTGTTAGGATTGGAGCAGCTTTTGGCTCTTAATGTTAAACTTGTTCTTTGCTGTTTCGTGAAGTTTTCCAAATTTGTTAGGTTGCTTTCTTTAGGTTTCTTCCAAATGAAAAACTGTTGATGAGAGATATACGGAAAAAGATTGAAGAAATAGTTCTTGAAACACTTAAAATACCAAATTTTTCTCAGTTATGGTCTCTCTCTTCTCTGATTCTTTTTGATCAGCCAAGAGAAGCTATAAGTCTAGGATTGAATGTAGATAGCAAATTAGTGAGTGTTTCTTCCACTATTGCACAAATTGTCTCACTAAAAGAAATCATGATAATGAAAAATATGTATGAGAGATTTGGAGAACGATTGAAGAATTAGTTCTTATAAAACACTCTTGTTCAATGTTTTCGCTTCTCTTTCCGTCTTGCTCTCTCTTCTCTGATTCTTTTTGACCAGCCAAGAAAAAATTGAGCGGTTGTGTGGTTGTTAAATAGCAAATTAGTGAGGGTTTGGTTTGGTTTATAATGTTGTTCCTGGAAGTGAATTTGGTTCATAAAGTTTCTCTTGTTTTATGAGTTGAAGTACTTTTACAGCTTCTGTTTGTATCTTTAATTCTTTGGAGGATATTGTTTTTTTTTTCAGCCGGAGAGCAAGTTACAGAGGAACATGTCACAAAAGGAGAATCCACTCTTAGTATTACAGTCGTTGGAGCATCTGGAGATTTGGCCAAGAAGAAGATATTCCCTGCATTGTTTGCTCTCTATTACGAGGGTTGTCTTCCTCAGGACTTCTCTGTTTTCGGTTATGCTCGGACAAAACTCACTCATGACGAACTTCGTGAAATGATCAGTGGGACTTTAACTTGCCGGATAGATCAAAGGTAGTAACTCCTCCTATACATTTTAGTGTATGCTTTCAGTTCAAATCTATGCTTTGGTTATCTGAAAAAAAAGATTGGAATCAACAGGGAAAATTGTGTGGACAAAATGGATCAGTTCTTAAAGAGATGCTTTTACCATTCTGGTCAGTATAACTCAGAAGAGGATTTTGCAGAACTAAACACTAAGCTCAAAGAGAAAGAGGTAAACATAAATCTTGTATCGAAGTCAGTGATGATTTCTTGTTTTAAAACACGTTACATTTTGTTTGATTTCTTGTTTTTTTAGGCAGGGAAGCTATCAAACAGGCTGTACTATTTGTCTATACCCCCAAACATATTTGTTGATGTGGTAAGGTGTGCAAGCCTTAGAGCTTCCTCAGTGAGTGGCTGGACAAGGATCATTGTCGAAAAGCCGTTCGGTCGTGACTCTGAATCATCTGGAGAGTTAACCAGATGTCTGAAACAGTATCTCACAGAGGAGCAAATCTTCAGGATTGATCACTATTTGGGAAAAGAGCTTGTTGAGAACCTTTCAGTGCTTAGATTCTCAAATCTTGTTTTTGAGCCTCTCTGGTCAAGAAATTACATACGCAACGTTCAACTGATTTTTTCTGAAGATTTTGGTACGGAAGGACGTGGAGGGTAAGCTTTTCATCTTTGCTTCTCTGTCTCACATAAACAACTTACAAAGTTACAAGCATTGAACACCTTTTCTAATGTTAAACCGATGCAGTTACTTTGATCAGTATGGAATCATAAGAGACATCATGCAGAACCATCTCTTGCAAATACTCGCACTTTTCGCAATGGAGACGCCTGTGAGCTTGGATGCTGAGGACATTAGAAGCGAAAAGGTAAGATTTTTTAAGCTTAAGGTTAGTAATAACATATTACTATACTTATGATTATGCATTCCTGTGTCAGGTGAAAGTACTGAGATCAATGAAACCATTACTGCTTGAAAATGTGATTGTTGGTCAATACAAAGAGCATAGCAAAGGAGGAAAGGCTTATCCAGGCTATACAGACGATCCAACGGTTCCAAATCACAGTCTCACTCCTACATTTGCTGCAGCGGCTATGTTCATCAACAACGCGAGATGGGACGGTGTCCCTTTCTTGATGAAAGCCGGGAAAGCTCTGCATACAAGAGGAGCAGAGATCAGAGTTCAGTTCAGACATGTACCAGGAAACTTGTACAAGAAGAATTTCGCTACTGATTTAGACAAGACAACGAATGAGCTAGTGATCAGAGTTCAGCCTGATGAAGGCATATACTTAAGGATCAACAACAAAGTCCCTGGTCTTGGAATGAGACTAGATCGAAGCGATCTTAACCTTCTATATCGATCCAGGTATTAACAATGGATTCTTTCTGATTCTAATTTTTCCATATGGAGATTTTTTATTTTTCTTGTGTTGTTGGTAAGGTATCCAAGAGAGATACCAGATGCATATGAGAGGCTGCTTCTTGATGCAATAGAAGGAGAGAGGAGGTTGTTTATCAGAAGTGATGAGTTAGATGCAGCATGGGACCTATTCACACCGGCTTTGAAGGAACTCGAGCAGAAGAAAATCATTCCTGAGCTTTATCCATATGGGAGCAGAGGTCCTGTTGGTGCGCATTACCTTGCGTCTAAGTACAATGTGAGATGGGGAGATCTTGAAGATGCTTAAGCTTTTGACAGAAACAAAGATTTGGTGTGTTAATATGAGACTGAGACGAGCTTAACTTGTCGATATGTTGTGAGGTCTTACAACTATTGTCAAATTCATTGAATAAAGAGATACCTTAATTTGGTTCTCAGTTCTCTAACAAAAACTATGTGTAATTTGTTTCTTCAACCTAATACATAGATTTTGTTTAAGAATCCATGTCCAATTATACCGATTGTTATGGTGAAGTATAGCATAAGCTATCCATAAAAACTACATGCATTTATTTTTCGTTCTTGTTCTTTCCACCGAATTCACAATGATAGTCTCTTATAAAAGTTTTTCAATTTATTACATATATATATATATATTGATAAATTAAATATGAACATATTTTTATATTTAGAGACTTTTATGAAAGACTCTCATTGCACATGGTTTTAATTTGGACTATCTCACTCTTTACTGCTGTTAGGCTTAGCAATATTAAATAATTTTGTCTGGGAGATACTTCTAGGTCCTATTGTAACATATATAACCTTGCACTTATAGTTGTTTATAGGATTTTCTGCTAAAAAATCCTCAAACTAAATTAATGTTGCAAGAATAACCTCCATTCCAAATAAATGCAAGTCAATCCACTTACCTACAAGGTTACCCGCAATACAGTCCCTCCGTGTATTATCAACGTGCACTATTAATTTTTTTAACAGAATTTAAAACGACGTCGTTTTAATTTTAGAAAATAAATTCTAAATTTTCACTAACTCAGAATCGATCTCTCAACCTCCTACACAATAATCAAATGCATCAATTACCACCTATGCCAATAGAATTGCTTGATATGTAACAAAATCAAAATAGATATATTAACTATTTTTTCTTACTTTGGTTGTCATCTTCTTCTTCTTATCGTAGGATTTAGCGAAGAAAAAACGCAAAACTCAGATCTACTCGTATTCGATATTTCGTTTTGTAATTCCACGATTCTCTGCTTTATTCATATCGATTTGTGAGAATGTGATTAAGGAATCGATTTAATCGAAGCCAAAGCAATCTCGTTCTGTCTTGAACTGAATCAAATCAAATCCCAAGTGTGTACTAGCTCACAGACAAGTGAGGAAGATTCTCTGGTGCGGTCTGGTTACTTCGATTGGTCAAGTTGGTCTTGTTGTTGCTTGCGTCCATAAATAATTGTGTTGGCTTAGAACTCGATCTCGAGAATATGGTGTAGAGTCGCAGAGATTGATTAAAAACTGACACTTCAACAAAAAGTAAGACAACATTGTTAATATAACTGTTTTAATTTCGTATCATATCAAGTATTGTTATTGGCATAGTTGGTCAACGATGCATCCAGTTTTTCATGAGGTCAAGATTTCGAATCCAAGATTGTGAATTTTTAGAATATATTTCCTGAAATCAAAACGACGTCGTTTTAAATTTCGTTAAAAAAGTTAACCGAACATAAAATGTCCACGTCGACGATATACGCAAGGGCTGTATAGCGGGTGACCTTGTGAGTGAGTGGGTTGACTTGCATTTATTTGGAGTGAGGGTAATTCTTGCAAAATTTTGATTCTCTATATATTTTATCACGTTTACCGAATGGTGGATTAAGGTCATTCGAAATCTATCTATCTATTACTAATAAAAGTTAATGCTAAATGCCTCTAAGGATGTCCACATATGATTTAAAGATTTAATTTTATTGGTACATATCAACATTATTTTTAGTTAATTATATATTATATATTAAAATTAATTAATTCGTTTTAATTATTGTAAGAAAAATTTCTAAATTTTAATTAATTTTGTTTTTGTTGTTATTAGGAAAGTATCTAAATTTTAAGTTAGTTATTAATAAAAAAAGAATTTTGAAAATAGATCTTATTTTTCTATTAACAATAAAAAAAGTAAATTAAGATATAAATAGATTATGAAAAAAAAATCATATATAATGAACAAAATTATTAATAACAATATTTAAAACCATAATTAAATTATTTTAAAATTTGAATCATGACAAACAATTAAAATCTGAACTGCTAACTTAAAATATATTAGTTGTTGTATGTGTTGATGTCTTAGGCCAATGAGAGCGTCCACATATGACATATACTCAATCTGATTAGTCTATATCAGAGTTTTTCATTAAACGTAAAAAAATAAAAAAATATTATTAATAATTTAAATAAATTAAAACATAGCAAAATATAAAATTATCACAATAGAATAGAAAATTTAGATAATTTTTTATAACTAAATAAAATAAATTTATGTCAAAAGTCTAAATCTATTGTGAAAATAAAATGGAAACTCATTATCACAAAAACTAAACTAACAAAAAAAAATATGTAAATCAATAACAAAAAAAATAAATTAAAAGAAAAAATTAGCATATATATTTTAAATGAGTAATTTATTTAGAAAAATATTAAGATTTAAATTTTCATGTAAACATATAAAATTGTTATTAAAATTTTCAATACTACCAAAAAAACATTCATGTTAAATTATCAAAAAAGAAATTCATCTAAAACTTATAATTTTTGGGGAAATATTTAAAAAATTAACACAAAAATCTTAACAAACCAAAAATGATACTTTATGCTAATTACTGAAGAAAGCAATATAAAAAATGTTTAACTAACAAAAACCAAAACATAAATTATTTCTTACAACATGTCAATACAATTAAAATGAAAGTCCATATCGAGAAAGTTAAATTAACAAAAAAAGGACATTAACTTAATATTTTTGTTATTTATTTAACAAAATTAATATAAACAGAATAAGCAAGAGAATAAAAAAAACTTAAATAATACTAAAAAACTTAACTAACAAAAATAATATAAATATTTAAGCTAATTATGTAAGAAATCAATATTAAAAAATTAATTAACTAAAAAAATAAAACGACAATTAAGTTTTACAAAATATTACTTTTTAAAAAAACACTTAAAAATATATTGACTTGATATCTGACTAAGTACTTAAAAAAATACATATAAAAATATTTAACTAACAAAAAAATTTATGTCTTTAAAATATCAATATTTTAAAAACAATGGTGTGTTAAAATAAAATAAAAATCAATATCAGGAGAGGTAAATTATCAAAGGAAAAAGTCGTATAAAATAAAATTAGCTTGATATTTAGGCTAACTACCAAACAAATATTAACTAAAAAAATAAATGATGGTATAAGCTTTTGAGACAAGTTCACTTAAAATTTAGAATAACCAGTTATAGCTTGTCAAAATAGCATTTTAATTAATTCAAAAAGTAAAATTAACAAATAAAAAGCATTTATGTAAAAGATATTAGATTAATATATATGCTATCTATTTGAAAAATCAATAACAAAAGAGATTAATTAAAAATATATATGTTTTGAATATATCAAACCTGCAGAAAATTAGATAATTAAATAAAATATAAAATTACCATTGAAGATATTTAAAATAACAAAAAACAAAATTTAAGAAGAAAATTAGTTTGAAATATAGTTCCAAAAACATTCATGATTTCTAAAATATTGGTGTTGACTATGGATAACCATACAAAGTTTTAATAGGTTATACAACTTTCTAAATCAAACATATTATTTAAATTTACAAAGATTAATACATTGGTTGCGTCTGGTTTAAAAATTAACAAAGTAAAATACTACACAAGTAACTTTACATTAAAAATATAATAAGTAATAAAGTATGATTTGTATACATATTTACTGCTTATAACTTAGTCAACATGAACAACACATAAGAAACATCCTCTAATATTTTATTTAAATAATATAATATGACAAAGTTATGAATCAAATTCAAATGGAAATATATGAGGATAAAATATTCAAATCAAAACATGAATAAACACACAAAAGATAAAAAAAAAAACAGTGATAATGTGAAGTCTCAACATCATCTTACATGTTTAAAAACTAATATTAGCAAATAGTTGACTGCAAATAAAATAGATCTTTCAAACTGAATAGAGATATAACCTAAAATTCGTAGAAGATCTGGTGGAGAAGCAAAAAGCAGATTTACACGATTAGTGTAGCTTACTAACAAAAGTAAATCTGAATCAACATATATAGTATATTATATATGTATATGTACACAACATTAGTGAGACATTAGTAAAGAAACTAAATATTTAAACTTATAAAGCGTTTTAAAAAAAAAAGAACCATAGAAATCATAAAGATATAAAACAAAACACCAAAAATTTAGTAAGGAGATCATTTTCTAAATCAAACATATGCACATCGAAGTTGGAGGTGTCATTATTATGATTTTACTTAATAAGATTTATAATTTTATAAACAAAAATAGGAAATACTACATATTATGTTTTGATTTTTTTATATAAAAGAAAATTTCTATAAATATATTATATTTTTGATAATTTAAAAGATATTAGCCAAAAAATTAAACCAAAATATTAATACAAACTCGCGCATAGCGCGAGTTAAAAGCCTAGTTACTAATAAAAGTTGATTCTAAATACTTCTAAGGGTGTCCACATAGGATTTAAAGATTCAATTCTATTGGTACACATCATTATTTTTATTTAATTATATATTATATATTAAAATTAATTAATTCGTTTTAATTGTTATAAGGAAAATTTCTAAATTTTAATTAATTTTGTTTTTGTTGTTATTAGGAAATTTTCTACATTTTCAGTTAGTTATTAATAAAAAAAAGTTTTGAAATTAGATCTTACTTTTCTATTAACAATAGAAAGGTAAATTAACATATAAATAGATTATGAAAAAAAAAATCATATATATTGAAAACAATTATGAAAAACTGTATTTAAAACCATAATTAAAAGTATTTTAAAATTTTAATCACGATAAACAACTAATATCTGAACTCCTAACTTAAAATATATTAGTTGTGGTCCGTGTTGATGTTTTAGGCGAATGAGAGCATCCACATAAGACATATATACTCAATCTGATTAGTTTATATCAGCGTTTTTCATTAAACATAAAAAATAAAAAAT